AATGCTTTCGAATCACTTGACCGCGACATTCTCATTCAATGTCTTTCAGACTGTGGTCTGGCACCTAATTTACTGAATGTACTAATTAATTACTTCACTCATCGGACGCAATACACTTTTTGTAACGGTCAATCGTCCTCCCTGCTAGAAGTTAACTCTGGGGTTTTTCAAGGTGCAATTTTGTCTCCATTTCTTTTTTCAATGTATATGAAGGACCTTCCCATCCCTCCCAACTTTATCGCCTGCGAGTATGCTGATGACGTGGTGGTCGGCTGTTCCTGATTGTTTCTGTCAACTTCAAGTTTGTCTAAATAACATTTTTAGTTGATCGACTTCTCGATCTTTATTGCTTAATGTAGATAAATATGTGGGNTATCAAACCCTTTTGAGCAATCAGCCTGTACTTTCTGTTAATGATAATACCATCCCCAAAGCTAACTCTGTGAAATATCTTGGAGTCACTTTGTCACACAATCTTTCTTGGTCCAAACATGTTGAAAACGTTTATATTCGGGTTCGTAGATTATCCTACGCTTTAAGGCTTAAAAAGCTCAACCTTCCCTTAAACGTAATTCTTAACTTTTTGATTGCATGCATTCGTCCACGTTGGTTGTGCTGTTACCCCGTATATTTTCCTGGTCTGAAGGAAAAAGACTTTATTCTCTTTTCCAGATTTCTTAATGGTTAGAGTTAAAAAAAACCGCTCAGACTGGGACCTGTTTGCTTACCACCTTTTCAATCTCTACGTGGTGCTGCTTACATGTTGAAATAAAAAGAATGGTTCGTATGTATACCCATATTCAGTGATTTAGCTAGATTGATTAAAAATAAAACACTGCAATCTTAGTTTTGAAGATAAAAGTAATCTCTGGTGAATGATGAGTTATTGACGTCCATATTTCAAGTTCACAAGTCTGCGTGCAGTCTGAAGTCCTTTTAATGCTAGCCCAATATGCACTGGAATTATTCAATTCTCTCTACTCTGTTGATGTGTGTCAGTAGCACGTCCGCCCCAAGGTTCGTTGGTTCTGCTCTGACCACCACCACATAACTCCCTTCTTCATCAACTGCCCGTGGCAAAACTGCTTTTCCTTTCCTGAAATTTCGATTTTACATTGGTCTTTTCGACAAAGGAAACATGTTTTAGGAGACAATATAATAAAATCAGACATGAAATGATTGCCTTCATCTAAATTGCTTTCATTTTTTTCTTTGCTCAGGTTCACCTGCCAATCAGTATGCCAACTCGTGCGGTGTCCAACGATACCAAAGTAATCGGACGTGAACCGCAAGATCGCTATGCCGAAATTCGCAACGAATGCTACGAGGAGCTTGTGCAGGTGGCCAAACAGCTCAGTACGTCCCAGCTGATCCGATCATTTGTTATTTACTATTCCTGCTATCTCTGGTAATCATACGCCTCACGCTCACCTCAAAAATGAACTAAAAAGACGTCACCCCATCCATCACCGACTCTCCCAGTCTTGCTTATGATGTCTCTTTGGGTTTATTTCTGTGGCACTACTTCCCATGGTTTCTTCAAAATCTATCTTAAACTCCCAAGGTTTGGATTACATATTATTATTATATTATTATTCTGCTGCCTACGAAATCTCAAGTGTTTTACTATGAATTGAAATCAGATAAACAGGCTGGTCAACGGCGACGGAGACTGCACTGTTGCGCAGTGTACAGTCCAGTAAAATCCGAGAGCAATGTGGCCTGAAGTTGCCATTTGGTAAGATACATATCCACATCTTTGATGTGTGTGGGGGATAGGGGATCCTTCAGAATCGCACAGTGACTGACCCCATTAATGTATTCATCCAGTGGAAGCCGATCCATCTTGGTCTAATTCCGGCTTCAGCGACTACAGCATCCTTGACTGTAGTTACCATGATTCACGAAACGTTGACTTAATAGTCTTTGTATCTCTCTCAAGGATCTTTTCTGTTCACCAAACGGGCCTCTCAGTTCTCCACATTCCTATGTACTACCAAAGTTGGCCGGTGCTGGTCATGCCCCAGGTCAATCCGACAAGTTCGCACTTAGAGAGGAATAGGTCGGGGCACTTCCGACTGATTCCCATTAGATTGATAACGCGTGTTACGAATGCTGACATTTGGTTACCTAACTGATGAGAGTACATTGAACCGCTCAAATGACTGAATTAAACATTCGTCAGGCCTCAGAGCACTAGGTTGAGTTTTGAAGATGTCACTGAAAAGGCGTCAATCTACATTCTGCTGTGCATGAATTTTTGTCCGTACAAGGTAATGTATATACACACAAACACTCAACTTTACAAATACGTCACCGTAAAACCTGCCAGTTGAAATGACGGAGAATGAAATCCACTATGTTGTTCCAAAGCGGTCATCTAACAAAGGTCGTAGTTGTTGTTGATAACAGCACCCAGTCATTTCTCCGGGATGTGTAAGAAAAGCACATTAGTAACGGTAATGAGTAATCTTGGATATTCCAATAGGACTACCATAATGCCTAACGCTACAGGCTGTTGCCATGGAACGTTACCGTGTGGAGTGCAGTGCACGATACCTAACACGGTTTATATGTGGTGTTTTTTGTAGTTATCAATCAAAATTTTACATGGCAACATGTGTGGTTGAGAATGTGAACAGCTGAACGCGGCCTATAAGATGAATTAATGCAGCGGTTTTGCTGTCTATAAAGTTTTGTGTGACGGTCAAAGGGTTCTGTTGTGGGAAATGACTTGGAACAGAATTTTAGGCCTTATAGAAAATGCACGATAATGAGTCAGGAAGCAATAAGACTGCCGTCACTGAAAGTTCGTAAATCTACCGATATCTTTACGCGTATAATGTGTTGGCCTCACTGCAGTAGTGGTAGTATAGGCAGCTTTACTGTCGCACTATTAAACTGATGTCTCGCAAAAGACTTTGAATGCTAATGTTCCAATGAGCAATCCATACCCAGCTTCCAATACGGTGTCATATTATATCGTGACCGTAATTTAATCAGCTTCCCGATGGTCATGTTGGTGGTGCATTTGCATTCCGTCCGTGGTTGATTCTCACTCCGGTCGCTAGATTCGCATTGTTGAGGATTCCCATTAAACTGGAAACAACCCATCGGTTCTTACCAGCTGTAAGGAGTAGAATCTGTTTCGTTGTTCCATCAGTCATTAGTTAAAAGGTATTAACCGTGAATTGTCTTTCGTGTCGTGTGTTCGGTAAATACTCATCGAATCGCTGATTGACCCTCCTTTCTTGGTGCCCCCTTTCCCTGTTGTCGTATCAGCCTCAGAACAGGGTATTTCAAATTACGCCACCGTCTTCCCGAATGAGATGTTGCTTGAAATGGCCGCGAATTTGCCGACAACACGAGAAGAGCTACTCGCCGTTCCGCAGTGCACGGAATACAAACTGACACGGTTCAATGCGGAATCGCGATTTCTCGAGATCACATTGAACTATTTGTCCATTTTGGGCGGTGAGTTTATCATTTTCCATTCCACCGGTGTGTTGCGTATAAAACAATTTGGAACTGTTTAGTTCCCATAGAAAATTATCAACATGTATCAACGTGGTTGTCTAACTTTTAGGCGGATTTTACCCTCATCGGTCAAATTGTGACTGTGACACAATCAGTACTAGCAAATAGTATTGGAAAACTATTGATTCTTTTAGTACAGTTTAAGTAACTTAGACATTCATCTCGGAGGTAGTTGTCCGATTTCTTTGTGATGTTCACGGTTCATCGGATATGCTTTCTTGGACTAACGATTGTGCCAATCTTCAATTAGATGAACTACTATCGATGCGTTAAAACAATTGAGTATCTACACGAAACTGTATAAGTATTCGGCCATCACGGACGAGAATAATGTGCGTTACCCATGTGAACATGCTTTATAACGTTCAGTATAGAACGAAATAAAGACAGTTTTGAATTTATGAATTGTTTAGTGGCTGACAAAAACATCTGGTTGCTAATTCGTCGTCGTTAAAACTCATCTTTAATAGTGTGTCCCCGCCGGGACTCGAACCCCGGAATTATCAAGGGCATATTGAACAGCTGTGAAAAGACCTTCGAAACACTAATTGCAGTCCTCATCTGTTCGCGGAGTTACCTTTTTCTTTTATTTATCCGTAGGTATTCTGGTTTATCCCCTTAATTTTCGCATTATCTCTGTGGTAAAGATAGACTAATATTTGGTTTAGCCACACTATCGGAAACAAATAAGATTCCTGTGTAAGCGTTTCAGATTTCTTCAAGTCATTTTTATCGGTTTCTCAAAATGACAAGCTTTAGAATGAAAAGTCGCAATTTGTGCTGTTAGAACGAGGGGATGTGCGCGTATAGGTTTGCATGTGCTTGTGTGTAACTAGAATTCTGTGGGATCTGCACATGTTACGTAACTGATGTTGTGCGTGGGGCTGTGTGCTACCACTACACGTGAGGTCACACCGGGTCACAAACAATTCAGCTCCGCTCGATACTTTCGACCTCGCGTGGGTTTGGCGTGAATTTACAAAGCTTCGGAAATTAGCTGTACTTTTTGGTCACTGTAATCTTGCCTCGAAACCGGGGGACTGTCGAAATCTTTCACGTCATCTCTTTTTCTGTTTTTTTATTTTTTCGCTTTTTTACTGTAGAAATTACAAGAATAGTTATACAGATACGCAACTAACTGGTGCTGTCTTTCACGAATTTCGATTGATCTCGTTTCAATAATCACCAGTATCAGTCGTGTTAGTTTCTATCCGACCTAGAGCCTTGGTTAATTTAGGTAAAGGTCGTCATACCTCGTCCGTTCGATACGATGATCAGTCCAACCTGTGCTAGTGTTCGCGTCAGAAAGGATATCATACACTGGAGGAAAGGGACACACACCAACACCTCACTATAATCCTCTTGATGAATTGTCTGCTTATGTTTCAAAAATGTTTTTATTTTTAATGCTCGCGTTTCATTTCACAGCTCTCAAAGAGGAGGAACGTGATCAGCAAATGGTTGTCACAGCATCCTCATCTGAATTGCTCTCTTCCACCGCTATCCCTATTGGAAAATCCCGCGGGTCCAGCACGATCAGGGGAAGGTCCCGGTATTTCAGACGTGTAAGTTGTTTCGTGGCACGCTACGCCATCGATTCTCTTTTGGTCATTTTCCGTTGAACAGGAAATTGATGTTTTTTTTCACGTACACACACGCCAATGAACAGCTTTGGCAGCTCCGTACGAGTGTTTCATCTGTAATCGGAATTATAAGCTGTGGAAGTCGACCGCGCTTGCCACGCCTCAATCCCGGAGAAGCAGGATCATGAGTCCCATATCGGGCAGAGCAAATCCCCCTCCCCCGAATAGATTGATCAAAGTTTCCTTACTACACAAAAGCAGATGATCATGGCGATACATACCTTGACTAAGGCATTTGACCGTATGAACCACAAAATACCTAAAAGAAAACTACATAATTATGCAATTCATGCACTGGATTGAATAGAAGAACTTCGTCTACAACGCACCATAGCAGTTCGTGTTTCTGGGTCACTATCAACGTAACCCGGTGGGTTCTACAGGGGTCTGTGCCTCATTCTCAACTTTTTCTAGTTATATGTGAACCGTTAGCGAAGTAGATTCTGTAGTCACATGGAATTTGTTTTCGTCTTGTATGGTCGTTAGTTTCCAGATTGAGCATGTAATGACATCTAAAAACAAAGTAATAAAGTGCGTGGGCATGGATCACATCAAGCCAAACAGAATATTTTCTCCCCGCCGATTCTCGGAGGCAGGAATAATTATGAGATAAATACGACAGAGTTACTATTGGGGTCCATGTCGTTTGTTCAACGAAAAGATCGTATTGGAGATTTTGTTCAACGCGAGAACCATACATTCCTGATTCAAATCCCAAGAGCAGGTGTACGAGTTGCCTTCAGGACATCCTGATCACAGTGCTCATCAGCTTTATCAGCTTACACGGTGTATCAGAGACGCTGAACGTGTTAATCGTGTTTCTCTGGAACCGGAGTTTTCAAATGTCACTGTGCTTTCTGAATAATCGGGCATTGAGTAAGACCTCAATTTCAGTTTCAGTTTGTACAGCCATTAGTCATACACTTTCGTAATTTTGTTTTGGTTACTGTCTTTTGGCTGACAATTCGGATGAAGCAGAAGAAGAAAGACCGACAAGTTGAAAATAAACTTCAGGAGAAAGTGGATAGTTTCAGTGGACGAAAGTTGCGAAGAAATTGAGCTGCTCGAACTCCTTTGTTTACGACAGTCAGCCATATCACTCAGTGTGTCTAACCGCCGGTTAATACGATCTGATGGTTCCCATTCAGGGAGCCTAACGTGACGTATACGACCGAGTCGCCTGGTTACGATTTTCTTACCCTGGTGCCAGTTCCTATCTTGACCAACCCTGGCTTTTTCCCCACCCACTGTCTTTTTCGGTGAACGTCCCCTGCTGCAATTTCAGTTCTTGGGCTTCGAAAAAGTTGTTACGGTTCCTGATCGTGATCAATCTTACCACTCGTTCCGTTTAGGTCGCGGTTCAGACTAGTCTGGTCGTGTCGTTTATCCGAACGTTACAACAGTGACCACTCGTCTTCCTCGAGCCCCATCAATCGCAGCCGGATTAGATGTGCTGTCGACGTATCTCTTGTGTTGGATGTGGCAGCTGGTGAATTGTTCGTTACAAACGTTTTGAATCGCTTCGATGTGCACCGTGTCAGTTGTAACACGACCATGGAGTCGGTCCAAAATATTGGTGGTCATCAGATGTGCATTTCTTCCACCACTTGCAAACCAAGGCAAACAGCTAAGGCTGCGGCTGTTGACTCTAGGCGGGGTATCGTCACCACACGGGACTTTCCGATGAGAAGGACCGTAATCCGGTGCCAATTGTGGCATTCGATGGTTGAGTATACGGCCAAACCATAGCCTACTTCCGAGAAATAGTGAATCCGTATTTTGGGCTCTACGATGTTGCTAGGGCCAATACATCACGGTATCTCTATGCTCTCTAGCTTTTCGAGGCTCGAGAGAATCTTGGGCCATGCCAATCTTTCGCTATCGCCGGTATCATTGTCCCATTTAAACTACTTTCTAACGAACTCTTGCAATAACTATTTAGCGGGTTATGGGATCGGGGCAAGAAACCCAAATGGGTCGTAAACAATGGCGGTGAATGAAAGCAATACTCGTCTCTTGCAAGCTTTATTAAATTTAGACACATGAAGTACTGCACGGTTTTTCGAAGGCTTCCATCCGAGTCCAAGTGTGAAGAAGATACAGTCGCATTTCGTATTCGGGGAAACCCGGTCTTTACACGAAGAAGCACATTGATCCACAGGGAGAGCCACTTTGTCATTACTTCTCCATTTTGTTAGACCAAATCCACTTTTCTGAGCTATGGTAATAAACTGACTGGCCAGGTTTCGTGCTTCATCTACCGAGTTACAGCCGAACAAGTAGTCATCAGCGTAAAAACTGTTACGCATTAGCCACCGCGTTGAATCTGGGAGTTCATTTTGGCAGGATTCGATCGCTCGTTTTAAGGCAAAACTAGCACAACTCAGTTGTAATGTTACCCTGAATACGTGAACTGTCACTTTGGGCAATCTGTGTATCTGACCACCAAGCTACCATAGAGACCGAAGATAATTTGTCTTTCATCGGAATCTTTATTTGATGAAACATCCTTTATATCCGCGACCAAAGCTACGCTTCCCATTCTAACTCGCATCAGAAAGCCGACCAGGCTGTTTACTAGATCGGGTCCCCGTAACAGTTGCTGGTTGAACGAAGTATCTTCGAAGGTACTCGCGCAGTCAAAGACTACGCGTACCTTCCCGGGTTTATAAGGATGAGAAACGGCATGGTGCGGTAAATACCGTACCCATTCGCCGTCTGCATTGAAATCGGCATCAGTATTCATGGGTTCGGCAAACCCTTGAGCGATGTAGTCTTCTACTTTGGTATAAATTCGCGTCTCGCTGCAGTCTAGGGCGCCAAAGCATAAGTCTGCGGTATGCACCTTCGAAATTGTTCGGCGAATCCGGACAATTGGTTTCTTACAGGGATTCTATTTCTCGCGAAAAAATTGACACATTAGAAATGCATATGTGTGCAATATAAAATTTTGATTTTTGTTTGATAAAACAATATTGGTGAAAATTATTGTTCCCAATCAGTGTAACAACCATATACTGCGTGAAACAAATAGATCATCAAAACTGTGGGTACAACAGCATATTTTGCTACATTGACTTGGAATCTTCAGTTGAGCAGATGTTGCCTAAAGACTTAAAGAAAAAAATGATTGCTGATGGTGATGGCACTTATCTTAGGATCTCCGGGTCAGCATGATGGTGACCTTAATTACTATCTCCATCCTTATCGGAATTCTTCGCGCGCTTTCAGGGCAAGCAATGCTACGAAAAACTTGAATTGAAGAACAAATTAAAGAAACATTGTCCGATTGGAATAGTTTTGTATCTGGTCAGAGCTTGGGTCAAGGTCAAATCTGGATGGAGACCGGTCAACTGGTTAGCAGGATACGTTACGCATATCTAAGTACATCGTCAAGGATTCAACGTATGTTATGCGAAAGAAGTAAGCTTATCGATTTTCCTTTAAGTGCTTTCCCAACCTTCACAATTAGAAAATGAGTCAATTTGTATGTCGTCACGTAGAAGATAGCCATCATCATGATCGTACAGCGGAGTACAGTAGTGCAAAAATAACGGGTTGCTGCCAAACTCGCATTGCATACCAAGTTGGCGAGAATATGCAAGGTGGACTAGGATGGGGCCTTTTTTTCAGGGCAGGAGAGGGATGAAAGAAAGTGAACCTCTGCGGTTAACATAGAGTACACAATCTAACTGTGTTTGCATACCTATTCAAGCATTCTGGCTTGATAAAAAATGAGAATAAGAACGCGACTACTGTCGGTTTGCTGGCAAATTTTTCACGGCCTACAACTTGGATGATTAGGGACTAGTATTGTAGCCAATAGTTTTGCACATTCCTTCATGTCTCGTTTCCATATCATCTGTTGACTTGCACGCGGTTCCCCCTAACCAGGATCGGCCATAGCGAATAAATTGCGGAGCGGTAGACGATAGCTGGACATGCACAATGCGTATCCTAACCATTGAAGCCTATTATTCTGAATTCGATGCGCTAGCATATTTATCTCCGACATGCTAAGAAATGCTCAACAGCTGACCTCCAGATTGCTAACCCGCTCACTCTATTCTGTGTGAGCCAAACTACGTGGTCATCGATGATCGAGAGCGTCTAATTGATGGATATCTACTCTCCAGTTCAAGGTCTCACAACCACAAACCGAAGTTTCACTCAGATTATACGAAACTCGCGTCAAATTTCGGATGTTTGAAGTAATAACAGCTGAAATATGCCTATTGTACCATATCGGTAACCAAATCCCCGTAGTCCTATCTTGAAATTATTCCTTGAATGTGTTTTTTGATGTACAACCTGTGCACAATCAGTGTAAAAAACGGACCGCGACCCACCAAAATCTCCCCTAAAACGACCGGGGTTAAAACTGTCGGTTGATAGTACCGCGTATGATGATCTTTGCAATTTTGATTTTTTATCTAATCCGGCGTTGCTTGTCGTTAATATGACACCGGTTTTTTAATCGTAAATGCAATTTATGCTGTGGCATTTCAATCAGTGACACTTGGCTATTAAGCACAGACTATTCAAAAAGAATTTTATTGTTGGAACGTAAATTTTCCCACACCTATGCTGGAGCGTGGCAAAACAACTGATTCAGTCTCGGTCTTCATATGGTGCAATTTTGCCTCGTATATCGCTTATTTACGAGGTGAACGGATCGAAGACGAAGTCAATGCGATTGTAGTATCTGGTGAATTAAACTATATTTGTTCTTCCTAGTTTCCCGTGCTTGTTCGTGTCGACAGGGTGCGTCCAATTCTCTCAGAGCATCACGTTGGCCCGAAGCTCATATGTTTACGTCCTGTACTTCTTCATCGAAGTCCTCATCCCCTGGGCACCCACTTTCTCATCCTTCGAAGTTTACTGCATGTTTGTACTCCGTCAGAAAGAGGCAGAAAGCAAACTTTCGTCGTCTACAGTCTCCAGCACCAGTTTATAAATAAATAAATGTTTTATTTTTTTCTTTGAGCATAGAGATTTACAGTCAATTTTCAGGAAGGGGATCACGAAAATGCACAAGCTGCTTGGAAAAATGCACAAATGGGGAAGATAGGTGGTGGTGGCGCGGTCCGAACTCAGGAGTACTACGTTGCTATTTTTATTACTTAAATCATAGACCACCGTCATCAAACTTAATTGTATTCGCTACTGTGATCAATTGATGCCCATCGCGGGCGAGTGCAATATACTTCTTTGACTTTTAATTTGTTTGGCCAGAGTTTTTCCAACTTTGTGCGTCAAGTGTCGTCACGGAGTCACGTCGACCTTATTCTTAACCTCATTCGCTTTTGCTTCTTAATCAGTGACAACTCTACTGCTGGATGATAGGATTATTATGGCCGCGCATCTACTCAAATTCTTGATCTGCATAAAGTTTTCCAGCTGAAGCATATAACAACTAGTTTCCATCAACGTTTGATGTTTAACAAGGTAGCAGATCACTGAAAGAAAATCACAGATACCCAGTTGCTGAAATGTTGAAAAACCCTGACCAGTGCACTTCAACATATAGCTCGTGTTTGCTCTTTTGGCTTCTTTCGAGAATAGCCGAATCAATGATCAGAGACGCTAGGTAATTTGACTGAGTGTCACATACAGTGGCAGTAGTGCATGCACCCACTTTCTCTTGTTATTTGCGGCGACTGTGGTACGATCGTTTATTCGCTGTCATCGGCATGCATTGGACCTTATAATCCGAGGTTCGAACCCCACCAGCGTCACCCAGTTTTGCTTGTAAGCAACTTTGCTTTTGTCCGGTTTAATCCCACAGTTAAACTACTGGGGCCTGATGTGATTCGCCAAGTCCAAGTCCCGGAATTTGGGTTTCCGTTTTCTATCACTGAACAGCAGGTTTACGTGACTATACAGTTCATTCCGTCTGCTGTTCATCACAAAAAATTTGTAATAACAGAAGCCCATTCTATCATAATCCTGAACTTTGCAATAATCTGTTTTGAAATGAAGCCAAGACCCAGTTGAAAATAAAGAGCGGATCGCAAAGTATCGCGGCAACTTTAAATGCGATGGAAATGTTTGTGATAACCGACAAGGAGCACTGGTTAGCTGTTTCATTCTGTTTGGTACTCGTCAGCAGCGCATACTTTTTGTCCCTGACTGGACTCGAACTGCGAACCTTCGGGTTGAAACTTCACGCCCTTACCTCTGAGCTACACGGTCGACGGCCACCACCTTGTGCGAATGGCTCAATCAGTTTGAATGGTGAGTGTTTGGAGTAACCCATTCGGTTTTTCACTGGCTTCAGACGCTGCTGACTAGTCCCGAAAAGCACGAAACAGCTGTCGAGTTCCCTTTGTCGGCTGTCACAAACATTTCCATCGCATTCAACTAGTGGAGAATTAACGACCTCCCTAGGAGTGAAACCAACACCCAAGATCATCAACAGTTCCTGGTGCCTGTAAAAAACTGAATGGGTTAATCCAAACATTCACCGTCTAAATATCACATCAACTATTAATAATGCTAACTGTGCCCTTCCACCCTTCTCTCCTGTTCTAGGCGGGGTCTAAGGCGAGCGGCACTAAACGAGGCAAGACTGCTTCAATTTTCGGTCGATACCAACCGAAGTCGTCCACCGCAACCAGTCGTGCCAAAACGAGTCAAAGTTCTTCCCAGTCCACTAGTGGAGGTTGGAAGCGGTGAGTTGGCTGAGGCCATTTCCCAGTGGAAAATACAGTAGCAACTGATTGATGAACAATATAGCTCAGTGNCTCAGTGCTCAGGTTATTGTGCACGAGCAGCACCTGGTTCCGATCACCTTTGATTCCCTCTTATCATATTTATCACTCTAAATTTGTACGAACTGTTCTAAATAATAACGACCAATTCTGAATGGGAGAAAGTTAATTATATTAGTATTCATTGTGTCAAGTTGTTCAATCCGAAAATCTTTCCTTTTGCTGGTAGTTTTCCAGATAAAGCGGACTCCAAGTCAAAAACAGTTGTACCACGACTGGATCGGAATGTAAAAATAGGCGGTTCTTTCAACTTGTTAGTATAATCATAAATTTTTTCCCGTCGCATTCATCCTCAGGAGTTGTGCGTAGCA